GTGTGCGTGCGTGCGTGCGTGCGTGCGTGCATGCGTGCGTGTGTGTGTGCACGCACAGCGTGTGAGAGAGAGATGGGGAGGGGGAGAGGGGAGGGAGGGACTCTTCAGGACCCTCACCTGCGGCTCCTCAGTTTACAGAAATAAACCACAGGCGGGGCGGGGCAGGGCGGGGCACTAGTGTTTGGAATCACCATGCTCTGCTCTGCCTCCCCTCTCTAGGCCATGCCTGCCCCCAGCGGGTTGCTAACCCACAGGGTTTATCTGCCCCGTGGTCTCCCCTATGTCATGGGGGTCACCTCCCTGCCACACCGCTGTGCGTGCGTTAGTGCAATGCAGATAGATGATCAGCGGCCACGAAAAGAAGTTTAGAGTCTACTTTGGGGTCCACACAAAGCCTCTCAAACCCTGGTTTCCCGGGCTCTAAGCCAGACCCCTGTTCCCTGCATCCTAGACAATGGGCTGACCTCTTATTCCACGTATATTCTACAACATTTAACACTCTGGAACACACTATTTAACCATGAAGACATTTCAACAATTCTGGTGTACTGGACACACTGCTGGACCTTTTCAAATGCAGATACTGTATCCCGTCTCAGGCTCAGGCTCAGGTTCATCAAATCAAAATTCTGGCATGCCGTCTAAGGCACACACCCTGAAGTGAACGGTACCAGCTGCAGGCGTGGCTGCACCGCTGTCTAGCTTCTAGTCCATGTGAGTACTGGAGTAATTTTTCCAGTTGCTGAAACAACCAGTGGGGAGACTGACTGTGGATCACAGCTGCTGCAGTTTCAAGGCCACCTGTGTGGGGAAGGCCAGCAGAGAAGGGGTGCAGGGCTCTGCTCTCTCCCTCTCTCTCCTCCACTCACGGAATGTCAGCGACACCCACTGCCAGGGCAGATCCTCCCCCCTCAGTCAGTGCTCTCTGGAAAGTGCCCCCAGACAGAGCTGGTGACAGGGGGTGGGGGTGAGGGAACTGCTAGGTTCCCAGGTGATTCTACATCTGGCAAATTGACAATGAGATTAACAGCCCCAGGTAAAATGCAACTAATTTAAGCTGTGTTTGTTTTTTAAATAAATAAATAAAAAAGAGCTATGCTATTCTGTAATTTTTAGGACATTTCCAGGGCTGCATGACAGCCATCTAATTCCAGAAGATTTCCATCCCTTTCTCTTCCCTTCTCCTCTAACCATTAACCTGATATCTTCATGGTTTGCCTTTCCTGAGCATCTCACATACATGCCATCTGGTATGTGGTCTTCCATGTCTGGCTTCTTTCATTAGGCATAATGTTTGCAATACTCACTGTTGGAATATGCATCAATACTTCATTCTCTCACGTGGCTGAATAGTATCCTACTGTGTGGATATCCCCCATTTGTTTACTCTGATAGGGACACACCTCTCAAAGTACTGTGAATAGTAGTTATATAATACTCACGAACGTACTTTTGTCTGAACACCTGTTTTTGGCTCTCCTGGGTATTTACCTAAGAGTTTTACAAAGCAACTTGTACTTTGTGACATTCCTAACAGTGATGCGTGAGCTTCCCATGCTCTACGGCCTCTCTAAGAGTTACTTCCTATTTGTGTTATTTTAATTATGAAATGGTATCTCATTACTTATTTTTTATTTGTATTTACCTAATGATTAATGATGCTGAATATTTTATCATGTTGTATTTGGCAAATTACATTATCTCCTTCAGAAAAAAAAATAGGTATGCAAATTTTTCCCCCTCAGAAAATCGGGTTATCCTTTTGTTGTTGCATTCTTCATACTTGGGTACTCTCAATCCCCATTAGGCAAGTGATTTACAGATGTTTTCTCCCATCAGGAGGGTTGTCATCCCATTTTCCTATCAATAACCTTTCATAAACAGAGCTTTGAATTCTGACGTCTGACTAATGTTACCATGTCTATACTGAGACGTTTAAAAACAAATGCCACTATGGGAAAGTTATTGGACATTTCTGCATTAAAATGCCCCGACTCTGTGATATAAGAGGAAATCACATGTGAAAACTGATAAATCCCCACGTCCTGGGCTACACATAAGTTCCCAGGAGCCGTTGCCGTTGAGGATAATTTGTGTGACGAAAGAGAGTAATGCTTGCAAAGGTTCTTGCCTCTGCAAATCACAGTCCATCCCGTGGTAAAAGGAGTGGGCAGGTTTGTTTTGAAAGCAGGGTGTTATTGGCACTGTTGGTGGGTGAGTGAGCAGCCGAGTGGGTGAGCTGGAACAGGTAGAGACTGTTTTGTTCCCTTTCCAATGCAAACACTGGGATCCACACCGAGTTGCAGTCCCACCAAGTAGTACTGAGCGGCAAATTCCCTGGTGAGCACTGGCCTAGAATCTACTGAAAACCATCTGGGAGCTAGAGTGAGCCCTTGGAAGAAATCTTTTAAATACAAACATGAGTAGAGAATGCTTTCCAGGGCAACACCATGCATACGAAGGGCTTGAAGGGACTGACTGAGACAGAAGAAGAATCTCTGAAAGAAAACCTCCTGGGCCCAACAATCCGGCAAATTACAGATGAACCCTACTCAGTCAATCCTGCCCCTTCAGGGCTCAGACGCTCAACTCCTAAGGCGCTTGCTTAGAGCCTAAGGCTGTGGGTCTGTCCTTCCACTGATCTCTCTGCCACCAGATCCCAAAGGCCAAAGTCCAGCGGCCTTGCAAGGCCCATCTCAAGTCCCATCATCTTTCTCCAGTCATGACCTTGCAAAACACGTGGCCTCGGCACTGTGAAGGTTATGAGCAGGGAAGCAGAGGAGCTTAGGGGAATAAGGAGGGTCAGGCTGCAGCCTCTTTAAATAATGCTGCTCTTTCACGGCACTCACAGAGGCTAATGTACCTGCAGTCTGCAAAGAACTTTATGTTTTGCCAAACGCATGCCAGCACACCTCAAACTCTCTTATCTAGACCGGGGGGAATTGAGAAAGAGTTCTAAAATTTGCTGCTAAGAGCTGCAGTTCAGAAGAACGAGACAGACATTTCCTTTGGTAAAAGTTTTGAAGCTAAAATGTTTCTGAGAAAGCTGAAGCTGATCAGAGGTGAAAAATTTCACCTCAAATTACAGTCGTGGGTCACTGATTACTGTCTTCAAAGTGTGTCTCTGCCCACGACACCACAAAGCAAAACTGAGCTCAGGCCCTCAGGTCAGAGCGCCAGTAGACACTACCTTATGATGTGGATATTTCAATATGTTCTATTTATCAATGACATTTATACGAAGTAGAATTTACACTGAAAGAGCCAATAAATTTATATGAAGATTAATTTGGTCATGTAAACAGAAACACCCTAACCATTACAAATATGAATGATTCCTGAAGCCACAACTATCCCACTGCTAAGTACTCGGAATGCTTTATTTTATTTTACTCCCATATCCTCATGAAGACCCCCGAGGTTCGTGTTACAAGCTCTAAACACCTATGTCAGACGACTCTGGCATTCAGGAAGGGCCTGTTGCCCAGCAAGGATTTGAACTTGTCCATAAACCATCTCAAGCTTGGTGTTTTTCCTAAATGTGTCATTTACACACAACGGTCTTCCTAGATATGAAATGGGATAAGAGAGATCAAAGGGAATTATACATCTATTATCTTGGGAGTATTTTATCTGGTTCAGATGACCTTTATTACATCTGGTCTTGAAAGCAGGCTGGGCTGCCTTGGGAAGGGCCTTGCATTCTCTTCTCTGCGTATCCACAGCTAACACAGACTCTCACAGTAATGGCATTCTCCCAGAGAGGCTCCAGCAAAACACTCATCCACCTCAGCCCGGTAAATAACGAAGACGAATGGTCAGACGCAGTACCACGGACTCAGGAGAAGGATGAAGTCACACACATACAAGGTGCTGCCGAGCAGAGGTGCAGAGCAACGTGCGTCTCTTAGGAGACAACACTGTTTCGCAGAAATCTATGGGGCTAAGCGTGCGGAATGCCCCAAGCACTAAAATTTAGGTAACGAACCCCCACCAGGAAACCGTGGGTGTGAACCAATGATAAAAGTTAACAGGGAAATGACTTGAAATGTGACTGGGGAGGGAGGGGCGGTGTCAACAGAATGGTTTTGGTGACGAGGGCTTAGCATAAGCAGCGACGGGAGACATCGCTTCAGACTCATCAAATAGTTGTCTATTGTGCACAGCTATTTTATATCAAATGCCGAGGAAGTAAGACAACAATACTGTCTCTCATCTATTTAGTTGAAGAGGATGTCTGTCATACTGTTGATGGCCACCGAATGAAAGAAACTCAGGAGAAGAGTAATGAACCCGAGGGTCCTGCCAGGGGCCGACAACAGCCGCTGGCAAGTAACGCCGCACTTACTTGCACTGTGCGTGATAATACTTTATGAGGTTCTGCAGCAGGTCCACGCCCTTTTTGGTCTTGATTTCATTAACTTTGATGAGATACTGTTGGAAGAAAGCAGAATTTTATGTTGGGAACTCCAGACGGCGGCTCTCACGTTCCCGTGGGAGGACGCCAGTCTCAAAACTGCACAGGTAGGTGAGCCTGGTTTAGGAAACGCAATCAGTGTTAGCGCCTGCTAAGATCTTACAATCAATTAGTTTACTACACAGGCATGAATGAAACACAGCAAATGCACTCCATGGAAATGTGTCGCTTTCCCTTGGTGCAGGTGGATCTCAAAACTTAGATTCAAGCAGCCCCGAAGACGGACTGTTCTCTGGAGAAAACAGGAGGGGCAGCATTCTCTTCAAGGGTGTTCCACAAGATACTGAAATATTATACGAGGAAATGAGTAGGGAGAAGAAATCTCTATTGAAAAGAAGCAAGCTCAAGAAAAAGAATAAGGATGAGTTGTGGGGTTGACTCTGGCGCTGGCTCTGATTTTTATCACCGGTCGTTCTTCTTGACACTGTGCTCACTTGTCATAAGGTCAGTAAGAATTTGTAACAGAAAAGGTCAAGGAGCCAAAGGTTTATAAGGGAGAAATGGAAAAACAAAAGGCAAAAGAAAAAAGGGAAACTCGGGAGAAAACTTAAATTATACATTCTCCATTAGTATTCTGTCAGCTGGAAAATATCTTCATTGCTCAAGTTGCTTTATAATGAGTGTGCAAGTAAAGGGATGCATACAGGTTTTGGTGGGAGTTTGGTTTGAGAACCATAGCTGTAAGTCAAAGGCACCACAGCACTAAGTCAAAGGCGGCAGGCATGCTTTTTACTGCATTTTCCCACGAGCGTGGACATTCTTACTGGACGGCTTAAACTTTCACTCAAGCTGGGTCCATGCTTTAAAAAACCCCCACATGCTCCAGAGTTGTAACAGTCACCGCTATTTATCCCCCCCTCCCCCGTCACTCACAGGCAACGACAAAGTTCTCACCAATGAATCCTGTTTTGGCTTAAAGAGGTCCATAGGACCACGGCTCAAAACATGAGACAACGGTGCAACGGCGGATCCCAAAGGGCTTGGAGAAAAAGGGAGATGAGAGTCCTTAGCAAACGGTCCCTGCTTCCTCCAAGCCCCAAGCCTCGTCTGCTGGCTATGAGGGGAAGAGGCCAGGGTCGGGAAGGGCTGCTCTTACTTCACACTCGTCTGCTGGCTAAGAGGGGAAGAGGCCAGGGTCAGGAAGGGCTGCTCTTACTTCACACATCTGGAGCTGAAAGAGGCGCCGCTCCTTCTCCATCTCTTCTGCAATCTCGGCTCCGGTGATCTCAGTACGGATCATCCCGTGCTGTTTCGCGTGTTCCCTTTTCTCCTTCTCAATTTTCGTACTGTGATTAAGACAGACGCCACATTAAAAACAAAGCGAAACACAAAAAAGATACTGTCGCACAACCCCAGGTGTGAACCTCAGCGGGAACTTGACCCCGGGTGACGGCATGCCAGTGGGGGTCCAACAAGTGCACCCCACCGTGTACTGCGTCGGGGCGAGGGGGGCCGTGATTATGGGGCAGCTGTGTATGGGTGGTGTGAGCCGAGAGTAAATTGGAACTCTCATTATCTTCCGTTCAGAAACGCCGACTTTGAAAGGGGATGATGTAGCTTGGGGTGGAGTGCAAAGCCAGGCAGTATTTATTTATTTATTTATTTATTTACTTATTGGCTAAGCAGGTTTTGTTTGTTTTTCAAGACAGGGTTTCTCTGTGTAGC